GAAATGGAATTTTAGTGAAATGAAACAACGAACAATGGCCACTACCGGCTGTCCTCACTTCCTTATCAAGAAGAGTTTCTCAAAAGAGCTACTGCGCCCATGCAAATTTGCACAAAGTACTGGGTTGATTTATTCGCTGATCTAGAGTTAAAACCGGCCTTTCTCGGTTTGGAACTTGCACTAAGATAACTTTTCAATAGATTGGGTGTGAATGCACATCGGCTGATAAAGATCGGTAATCGACTGCCATCAAAAGACTTGATTCAAGTGGACGATGTATGGTTGTCCTTGGTATGGAACACCAAGTCTGGATATCAAAAAGACCCTGTTGCACAAACGAAATAAGTTCATTAATATCCCAAAGTGCTGGGGTAACTGTTCGGTCGTGGGGAGCTATGTGGTCTGATGGTAAAAGTGAGCTGATTACCACCGAGAAAATCTTATGTCAAAGTATTGGCAGATTTGAAAAGTTGTCTTGATGCACGTTCTAAACCGAGGAACACATGTGTTTCAATTATGCTGAAGTGACCAAATAAATACTCCACGGAAGATGAATTTTAATTCGTTGTAGCCTTCCGCTTGTCACGAAAGATACAGTGACATGTGCCGTATCTGTATGAAGTTCGACAAAGTGGCGTTCACGAAAATCAGTTCATCTGATTGCATCCGTTTGTATTGCGGAGGTTGTGAGTTCGATTGTAGTTGGTTAGATAGACTTGTGCTTCAATTGTTCCACTCTAGTGGGGTCCTCGTTTCTTGATCAATGGTTATGTAACGAAGAATATTGCAATTTTTTTTCACACGTCTGAGTTCACGGTACAATAATCTTTATAAGAAGAAAACCGGTCCAATATTTGCACTTGGGAGCAATACTGCCAGGTTACCTTGGCCAAAGCAAGTGAATATTCTTACAGAGTTAATGATCGGAGCCTTCGGCTAACAAGAGCCTGACCCACAGGGCAGCGGGGCGGCGTGTAAAAACCGCATTCCATTGGGGGTCCAGTGTCCAGTTCATCGGATCATACGCTCTTTGGACGGGGTCAAACGTCCAATGTGCCCAATACATGGTCAATCGAGCAGGTGACCACCACCACAACTAGGAAGGTGTGAGTGGGTGTGGTTCGTACACTTCTTGCTTGGTTTGGAATCAGGGTTTTTAGCAATTTCCACCAGGTCATTGTTGCAATAGAAGGAACCAACTCCACACTTTTATTTAGCCGCTCACAATGTTTGTTTCCCGGTTGCCTGTGTGGCGGCTACTGTTTGTCGTTGCTCTACACTGTTGGTTTTCTTTCTTTGTTCGATGTACGTCTTGATAGATGAATCAAGGTATGAGTGTACTTTCGCCTTGACTTATTTAGTTCGTCATTATTTTTCCGTTCGTATTTCGGTGTATCTGGGAGCTGGTAATGTGCCTCCGTCCTTGTATGCGTATGCATTTATGCATTCCTACGGATACTTTGGTTTGATGCACTAAATTCTACTGGACCCGTACTTTTGCATCGCTTGTTCCCGTTTTTTTGCAGGCATTTTCTATGTCTGCATTAAATCACCCACTTGTTTAGTTTCGTTCGCTCATTGGGATTCCACTTGTCCAACAGTTATATCGCCCTAACGATTTCTTACAGTATCTTCTTCTTTTGTATTGCCTATGGTAAGGTTGCTTTCTTGTTGCTCGTTTTCAATGTGTATCTGAGGGCTTGATGAAAACCGTTGAATACAGCCATCCCATGTTCAACCCACATAGATCTATCTACGGGTCTCTCATAGTCAAATGAAAAAATTAGCTTGAACCAATCAGATAAAACCTGGGTCACACTTGTAGACTGTCTTTGACGTGCAACGGAGATTTATTGTTGCGTTCATTTGAATATGAGGGTTTGAAAATTATTACAAAAACGAAAATGCAAGAATACAGTGCTTGCTGTTTTTCTGATCATTACATAGGTTAGGATAGTCAAACCGTCAGTGATTTTTGTTTTCATCTACACAGTAATCACTTCATTATTAGGGTGTCGGCCCTATTAAAAATCCCTACTGGTTTGGGTTGGCCTCGTGAAACACAATTATCCTACCTATGTGCTCATAAGGTCTTGGCACTATCTGACCTGAGACCTTGATCTAGCCACTAACCATGGCTTGGCTCACTCAGTGGGTGTGTCCAACCGTTCTTTGCGGGCATATCTACCCCCCCCATCTCTATTTCTCGAGAGCCTAGTCCTCCAGTTCGATTATTCACGTCAATATACGTTGCTGTACATACTCATACGGACAGTCAGTCAGGCCCACGTGATTTTCCTACCGGACGGTTTCTACCGTCCATTGAACTGACTCATCACGCGATCCGTGTAAGGGTCTCAGACACTGTTTTCAAACTCTGCCACGCCCATGTCAACTGCCCAACTGGTGGACCTATGCGGTCTTCCGTTGATTGAGGGCAATTCATATGCCTTGGGTGATTGAATAATGGCTAGCCTAAGGTCGTTTGTTCATTACACGCGTTTACACCCCGGCGAATCTCGGGGTCATACCCTACCGCACAATGCCCAGTGAGGACAAAATAGAATCGGGAGTAGGTGGATCAGTTGACCACACACAAATACAGACAATCACAGGCGCGCACACATGTGGTCGAACGCCACGTTTGAGCACGCCCAGGCTGGCAGCAGTTGTGACTCACTTCTCTCCCCGGTTTTTCGTACACGCGAGCGATTTGAAGTCATGAGTTAAATGACACCACATCACGAGCCGATTGGTCGGTAGGCGGTAATCCTAGTGCGACTTATCTTTGACGGTTAATCGAATTGTTTTCAGGGCAGAAAGCGCGGTGCTTGTTATTTCGTCCTGTTGAACGGTCGGGAAATTCCGAAATAAAACCCGGCTTATTGCGGTCGACTCAGAGTCTTATTCATGATACAGTGAAATCAACTTTTCGTATCCACGTCACCCCAACAAATTATTTTTCCGAGAATGGGCGCGATTCGAACCGACACCATCATTGTCATAGTCGTCCCACATTGATGGAAGACAGGCGAATAACGTGACGAACTTATTGTTACATAGTTTGTTATCGTAGAATTCAGTTTCTCGGTTAAGTTTGATGCGCTCTATGCAACATTGCACTTCTAAATTAAGCTTCAAGTATCATGTGACTATTGGAATTTGGTATTCCAGTTTCTCCGAGTTGCACAGTCATTTGCGTCGCGCTGATTCAGCGTTTCGGTTAGTTTATGGGGAATTTGAAGAGAGAGAGAGATTGCTTTGTCTGATACAATCAGCTATCGTAATGATTAATTCAAAGTGGCATCCCCTCTGTTTGTTTACCGATCATCATTCTGAAAGACCGATGTTTTGATGTTTGTTTTCTTCACAAGAGAATTGTGTGAAGCGCCTTATTAATTCAACATGTTCAGAGCTATTAGTTCATTCCCCAAGAAAATTCCCCGTATCATATTTTAACGAGTTCCATTTTCTCATAATTTGATAGAGACTAAATTTGTTTATGCGTGCACCATTTTGCAGCTTTGGCCGATCACTTCAAAATAATAGTGCTCGGTATTCGTTGGGATTGTTTTTTAGTCTATGCGCTGAGATGACAGAGGAAACATTCAGGAAGTGTTCGTTTTGAAGAAACCTCGATATGTTGCACGAAATAGTCACCCGGATGTGGTGTTGATTGTTTATAGCTGAGAGAAGCGCTATGAAGTCGCACTGATAATGTTGTCTCGCATGGCTATAAAGCATCCGTAAAGAGCCTTTCCACCAAGGAGAAACCTCCAACATTATCAGTAGTTAACAGAGCCCATAGCGACAGACCATGCAATATTACTTCAATTGAGGAAAATTTGGTGTTGAACCGAGTGTAGCAGTGAAGTTTCCTATTATTAAAAGCAGTTTACCCTGCAGTTCAAACTTGATCTCAATCACTGAGGACCACGTAAAACTATGCCCGAATTTTATGAGGATTGAGTAAAACTGATTGGGATTCCATCCCGATNTGCGAAACTTGCTATCCAACTCACTCACTCTTAGCAGATAGCCGAGGAAAATTGTACACCAGAAAGTCGATCGGTGATAATGTACCATTGCATTATCGCATGGCACACGTAAACCGCGACGAGTGATGCTGTTTTTCTGTGTCCGTCAGGCTCAAATGTGAAAACTTGTCAAATATTCACTTCTGCTGTTCTCTGGAATGCGAGCAAATTGCTGCCTGCACACATTTTTCTACCCCCCCCCCCCANCCCCCCCCAGACTTGATCGGAGCAGATTCTATTTATGTGACTGTGCGAATACAGTCGCTTACGTGCCCCTGTCCAACTGTGAGAAAATCCACCCGGTTTTATATGCCTCTAGGCATACTTGTACTTTGTTCTTCTAAGGGGTTTAGTTCGGTTCTGGAGGTCATGCAGAAGTTCAATATGGATTGTAGAAATATGTCTTAAGCAAGGAATAAATCTACTTTAATTGGTATACGTTCTACTAAAATTGTCGGATTTTATTTATTCCAAAATCATCCTATCATCCTATCCTAAATAGTTCACTTAAGGGGAACAAGAATTGCTCTGTTCACCGAACTGTGCTAACTTTTGGAACATACTAATTTTAAAACTTGAGTATAAAATCATACATAAATAAATAGTCCGATAAATTATAAAATACAAGGAACACCGCAGTTACCCTAATGGTTATGGTTTCCTTTGTCATTTTGGGATAAAATCCCACGACCACTTGACCCCAGTTGCCCAGTTACAGAGTTAGTTCAAATTGAATCAAAGGTTGAATGACTGTGTGACTGATGTTTTATATTATCGGAACAAATCGGATCCCGCTTTTGATAATGTATCCAAACTTTATAAGAAACTACGTTAAAAAGCCAATTGAAAAGGAGAACTCCTCGTGTTCATTTACAGTGTCAGGTCAAGTTGTTACATTGACGTAGTTAAGCTAAGAACTAAGCTAAGCTTAATAGCTTGCTATTTTTTGCTTGTTTCTCACAGATATTGGATGAATCTATGTGTGTGGTTCGTGAGGACATATGTGACTGGCTTCAGCGCTATCTGTTTTCATCCGTGAATGCACCCGCAATCGAAGCTTCGTTTTTGTTATTTCGCCTCCGTTCGGGTCTCTGGCTGTCGAGACTCGCGTACAAATTGCATGATTCCGTACTTCAACGAGCTCCAAATACAGTTCACCAACCACCAACAGATTCATACGAGTTCCTCCGTGGCGGTGTCTCCAATCCAAGTTTACGTACCTTATCCCGAAACACACTACCTCCGTTTCCCCGCACCCTGATCACCTGCGCGAAATTACCACTAGGCCCCGGTGACACGTGCTCGTATCATGAACCAGAAAGATCCGATGCATCCTCAAATGCAAGTGCAACGAGTTCACCCGGGCACAACTCATCTAGATTGGAGACTTCGGGATCTAGTGGTTTGAGGGTGGCTGATCGGTGGGTGGCACGAGACAATGTAAGCGCGTTCCTACAGTGGTGTAAAGACCTTGGCATCCCGTCGACAGTCCTATTCGAGACCACTGGTCTAGGTGAGTTCATTTTATGACTTGTGTGAAAATGCTCGAATTAAGAAGATACAAAAACCAAATACAGCAATTCACGTGCCAGAATAAATGCTATGCTTCCTAAACAATCGTTTGTCTGTTCACACGAATAGAGTGTGCTTTAAACACTCACAGACACACACAAAACAGTCACCCATTGTAAATCAAAGCCACTACACATTTGCACTACGGTATATTACAAGTGCACGGTTTTCTGTATAGCCAACTTCATGACTTACCAAGAACACCCGATTGATACTTCAACGTAACTGCCTGTCTAAATACGTTTACACGACCCGATTCGTTTCCTGTTAATCGTAATCTCGGTCCTCCGTTTTCGCGTATACATCTTTTTGTCAAAATATGTCCGGTAAAACAAAATTTATCCACTCATTGACAAAATAAAGTGTGTATGCTGATTGTGAAAAGTTCAATAACCTCGCAGGGATTCGATCCCACGCATGGACACCACCTATGCTTTGTATGCGCAAGGTCTACTAGCTGAGCTACAAGACGCGTACATAGCGTAGGCGGCGTCTATGCCTGGGTTCGAATCCCACCGAGGCTACTGAAATTTTCACAATCCGCATACAAACTTCAAATCTGCCAAACAACAAAATAAGGTGTATTTTGACTTGATAATTTAAGGGAGCTCTTACTCGTATGCTTTCGGACTTCTGCGAACAAAGGTACCACCTATTGTTGGAACTTTGATGATCTTGAATTGCTCCTCCTTTCTAGGTAGTTCAGTGACAAGTGACGATAGGGTGGTGAACGGTGCAATCGCATGCAAAAGCTACGCTAAGATTGTGATTCCTGACTTACAAACCTGGTTTAGATTTGCCAATGTCTCTTCGTGGCTGAATATAGTCTCAACGGATCAAGGTGATGATCAATATACCTTACAAGATATTCATATTAACCGAGCGGGCCGGAAAACAATGAAATCTGTCAAAACGATCAGTTTTATGAAAAAGCCAAAGCGCACGCTGAAACCAAACACACTTTAGTGAACAAACTTGTTTCCTATGGTTCATTAACTGGCTGATTTATCATATCATATGTCGTATCATGTTTTGTTTAGATGAATATATAATAAAATTATTCCAAGTTCCATCAACCGGATGCGGTCAAGATTTTGCCCAGATCATGTAATTTTTATGGAATGGGGTTAGAAGAGTGGGGGCTTATGTAGATCAGTTCGGACTACTTCGGTTTTTCCCAAGATCCACTTTTTAATCAGCTAACATTAGCGATCCCTAACACATTGTAGATGATGAAATGCATCATTCGCATTCACTGAGTGTTTGGAGTTGCCTTCGTTTTGAACAGTGGCAATTATTATGCATTTCACAGGTCTTCAGCCAGGCCACATATTATTCTCGCACTCCTGCAACTGAGTGTCTGCTCATGTGGTAATCCATATACTTGTCCCATTGTTATTGGCTTATGGCATCACATACCTTAGAAGATCCCCGTTTCATAATTTTATGACATCGTTCTCGCGGGG